TTTTTTTTTGAATTAAAAAAATCAGTATACTGGAAGTTTAATTTAATTTGATAGTTAATTTATTTTAAAAAAATGGTGTTTAACAAGCTCAGCATTTACATCAAACTGACTATCGTGCATCACTCTCTGGCCACCGGCTTCAGTTCCAAAGCATATCGGACTGGCACAACCGAGCACTGGATGTCCGTCAGGCATTACTTCTAGCCGGAAAGGAATTCCAGACGATCCACAAGATGCTGCATCGATTAAATGTACTGCAGAAGCCACGACAACTAGAAGCAGTAGGAGCATCTGCAGTAATTGACTGAGTTAAAAGTAATCTATAGAGTTTGTCGGAAGAAATGTCTGATAGCGCGTATAAGAATCAAATTTCAAAAAAAATAGTACAGTTATCTATTTATCTAATGCAATAACAATAACAGTAACTGAAACTGTAATATTGATAGAGCGTCATAAGGACAGAACAGTTACCTATAGATTAAACCTTCTACTAAAATTTTAGTAACTGAAAGGATCAAAAAAGAAAACAATAGTTAAAGAACTGTAAATAGGTTATCTATAACACCGCTAAAGTATGTCATAGCAGATAATAAATTATTGCATATTACATTCGTGGTTTATTTCTGCCCAATGTTTAGTAAACTGATTTATTAAAAAGCGACAATTGTAAAACTGTTGTAAGTTTAGAAAATTTAATATTTCAGAAGAAAAATGTTCCTTTTTTATTTTTTTTTCTCACTTTAAGCAGTTCAACAACTTTTTTGGTTTATTATATCAAAGTATCGGAAAATCAAATAACTGGAAATAAAGAAGGAGAAGAAGAGATAAGACACACTGATTACACAGTGTTCATTTGGTGAAATGGTGATGATTACTGAATGACCTAAAAGGTTTATTGCAGAACAAATGGCAACAAAAATACTGAGGAAAAAAAAAAGTCGAGAAATTAGCAACGGAAATACCGAGAAAATTTATGTCACCCAAATATTTTTTCTTTTACACAGTCTTTATATCACTTTTTAGCCGTTGTAGTTTGATGTTTTATTTGACTAAATTTTTTGTTTTTGTTACAGATTTGCAATTCGTCTATGGTTTGTCCATTTGTTACCTTTAAAAACTATAGAAAATTCTATTTTTTCTTAAATTTCAAAT